ACAAGGATTTCCAACTTTTGTGTAAAGATCGGTAGGTCTTCTTTACCACCATGAGGCAGGGGCTGACACGGACATGGGTGTGTAGGCTGTAATTCTATCACTTGCAGGGGTAATTGTACAGCTGCCTCCCACCCACAAAGGATATATTCCCAGCATTTCAGCAGATGCCTGCAACCACACAGTACTGTACTAAGCACATGTATGAGAAACTTTTGCCTTTTGACTATAGGAAGCACTTTGTGCTTTTCTTTGATGAAAGTGATTTATGAACATCACTGCTCTTGTATTTTGGGGGACATTATTAAGTAAAGTAACAGTTAGTTGGCTGGGTGTCAGTGGCTCATGCCTATATTCCTATTTACTCAGGAGGCTGAGATCTGAGGATCGCTGTTTGAAGCCAGCCTTGGCAGGAAAGACTGTGAGACCCTTACCTCCAATTAACCACCTAAAAACCAAAAGTGGTGCTGTGACTCAATGTGGTAGAGTACTAGCTTTGAATGAAAAAGTTTGGGGAAAGTACCAGGCCCTGAGTTCAAGCCTCATGACCGCCCAAGAAAAGGTTACTTGAACACAAGTACTGCAATACTACAACAGTTGTTCTGAGAACAGAGAAGGCTACGGAGTGACTAACAAGCAAGTAGCATACATAACATGGATACTCTGGACAAAGACTTGTGTCCCTTGGCAAGGAGGCATAAGATTTCATCATGCTATTCAGAATAGGGGCGTCTGAGAATTTCCATCTAACAGTTCCAGACTATTTAAGTATTTCTACTTAATAATTTTAGCTGTCTAGAAGTAACTGAAGCCGTGGAAAGTGAAACTGTGGTGAAGGGTGTCATCTTACAAGATTCAGTTTATATTATTTACAATACTCAGTTTGTATTTAATGAACTCTCCCCCTAGCTGAAATACCCTCCTGACTATGGCAAGTGATGTCTTATTTCTCTCACTGTATTTTCCTAACAACCTGTCCAAGGAAATGATCCAAAATTTGAACCTAGACTATCAATTCCAGAGCTTGAACTAACTGCTTTGACAAATGTGTATTCGTGATGATGCTCAGACAATGTATTTACTACTTGCTTGAGGAATTTTAAAAATAATGTCTTCCATCTCAGCCAAGGGTTCTCCTCTCTTCATTGTGATTGGCTGTCAATTACCAGGTTAGGCTGAGTATAAAATGTTTGGATGAGACTCCCCATGAGATGAGGGGAGGAAGAGAAAAAGAGTCATTGCGTGGGCTGGGATGTAGCTCAGTGGCAAAGAGCTTGCCTAGCAAGTGCAACATCCTGGGTTTGATCCCTCAATGCCAAAAAAGAAAAGACTAAAGAAAAGAATCATTGTGGGCTGCCTTCACATATATTCACTAAAACATTTATTTAGCATCTATTGCATACCAGGCATGGTGCAAGATACAATTAGATAAATTAGAGCTCCAGTGTTCAAAGAAGTAGCTTGAAGCTCCAGTAAAGAATAGCTTTCTAGATGTCTCAGAAGCAAATCAATTATATTCCTTTCAAAGTATAGCTCTGGGAAGACCACTGGGTCCCCTACAGTGTTAGAAGGGATTTGAATTGCCAGTGATGAGACTCCTAAGTTGCACAGCCAAAGTCTCATTTAGGAAGTAGAAGTCATCAAGGTGACTCAGGTTGGCACAAATACATATTTCTATGTATGCTTAGGAGATCTGGAGATTACCTATTTGCTGGGTCCGCTCTGTCCTGTATTTCCTAGAAGCCTCACAGACTGTCATCTGTGGAGGCTTTTCTGCAGTCAATGGAGTGACTACCCTAAAAAGCTTGCTCTGCTCTAGGATTTTGACTGTGACCCAGTGGTACTGCAATGCGGGGGCTGGGTAAAGAAGAGAGGACCAGGGGGCTGGAGGAAAGGACAGGAAAACAATTGCAAGGGTAAGAGCTGTATGGGACTAATTAAAGTCATGTTTGAATATGACTTGGATTATGGCAAAGCTACAAAGAGAGTTTCCTGAAGGCAGGAGGTAATACTTTTCTTCCTAACTTTTCTCACATGAGAAGTCATTTGGAAAGACCGCTATACAGAATTTAACTAAGCTGGCTGGTTCAGCCTTTTTCAGACTCTGAGTCTGGTGGTCTCAGCACCTGAGTGTTAAGAACACCTACCTAGAAGATGCCCCAAAGAGTCACTAAGCATCAGACATGGGGAACATTCTCTATATTTAAGATAAAACTAATTTCCACATATTTCTTATCCTAGCTGTACAGTGGACAAAAGTAGGCACTCAGCGTGGCTTTATCGGGTGGCTGTTGGGAGACTTTTAAAAATCTCTTAAAAGCCTTTCCCTTCAAGTGGGTACTGGAGAATCACGGACACTCACCACCCGTCAAGTCCATAGAATGCACTGACATTCTCCCCCTTCTGAGAACCAGAAGGGAAAAGGAAGAGATACTTGAGATTCCTGTTCATCCATTTCTAAATCCTCTGCCATCAACATTCAATCATAAGAGATTGCACTGTTCACTTTTAAAGACTTTTTTTCTTGGTCAAGATGCTCTTTAGGTAAGCACACATTTGTAATCCCAGCACTCAGGAGTTCGAGTTAGGAGGTTTGTGAGTTTGAGGCCAGCCTGAACTACACAGTAAATCTGAGGTCAGCTTGGGTTCCATTGCAAGACACTATCTTAAACAAATAACAAACAAAAGACCTTTTAGTTCTGGCTCCCAAATTCATTCCAAGTTCAAGATTAAAGCAGTGAAGGCTCTCAGGATTGGGCATGATTCTAAGACGCATGGAATGCTTTGTGCTTTCAAGTTGTTGAAGTTACACTTCAGTGTGGGCTTGCTGCAGTGTAATGACTTGCCACACGTTCTACGGATAAAAGCAGGAATCTGCAAACATGGCTTGCCACTTGTTTTTGTGAATTTCATAACGTTTGATTGACACACAGCCATCCCCATGCATTTATGTATTTTTGTGGCTGCTTTCTTGTTGCAACGGCGGATACCATGAGGTTTCCAAAGTCTGACTATTTCTGATCTGACATTTTAGAATAAAAGTTTTGCTGGGTTTCTGGATTAGACACTCCCCTGCATAAAAGTCATCCTGAAGTCTGCATAGGTCTGTTTCTTTCCCCCAGAAAACACGCTGAGTATGTGTTCACAACTAACAAGATGGCCTTGTCTGCCTAGCAGTTGGTGCTGATGGTGGCCTGGAATGCCCATATGTGGGCTTGCTGCATGGCTTGGGCTTCTTCAAAACATGGCCCTTGTTTCCCAAGGGACACTGAATGTCCCAAGGGAGAGAGAGAACTGTACAGAGAGCTCTATGCTCAGTTATTAAAGAATGGATAAAATGTGAAAGCAGGTTGAAATATATGTAATTGCAGAGCTGAAAGTATTACCAAGTTCTAATGCAAATATGAAAATACTTTATGGCAATTTTTACATTTGGGTTGCTGGTGTAACTTTACATAAAGGTACCAGATCCACTTGGTTTTATATTCCTGCCCAATCTTTGAATTACTTTTTATTTTAGTCCACCTCAAATACAGAAAGCTTCCAAAAGTGCTTTGGAAGATTAGTTCATTCCTGAATGCAAAATCCTAACAGAGAGCATAAAAGAGGAAACTCCATACCAGTCTCTTTCATAAATTCAGTGGCAAATAGCCCATAAAGTATTAGCAAATGGGATCTAGTTATGGATCAAATATGATTTGGTATACACTCCTAAGTTTTAAATTAGTAATTTAGTAAGTGAAAATTAGAAAGTTTATTAGTAACGTATTTTTAAACTTTTTGCCAGTCTTGGGGCTTGAAATCAGGGCCAGGGCTCTATGTCTGAGCCCTCTGTGTGCAAGGCTAGCTCTCTACCACTTGAGCCACAGATTCACTTCTGGCTTTTTGGTGGTTAACTGAAGATAAGGGTCGCACGGACTTCTCCTTCCTGGGCTGGCTTTGAACTGGGATCCTCAGGCCTTTGCCTTCTGAGAAGGCTAGTATTACAGACAAGAGCCACTGGCACCTGGCTTCCAGTACTGGGGTTCAAGCCCCAAGCTTCATGCTTGCTAGGTAGGTACTTTACCATTTGAGCTAGGCCTCTGGCTCAAAACTATATTTTTTTATTATAATAGTTGTACTGATGTGTTATGTGAGTTAGTGTATTTATTTTATTGTATTAATGTACTAATTTCCTTAATAAATGGAATTATCTATATTTAGATAAGTATACTTATTTTTACAGTGATGTTCCACTTTCTGGGCATGTACAATTCTTTACATCCCTGGCCCCCTACTGGAGATCAGGACCCTAATCTCAGCTCTTACAGTTCTGGTACTTACCTAGGTCACCAACGCTCTCTGGATTTATGTAATATAAAGTGGCTTGACTTTCAGGTTTAAAAGTACAGACACATAGGTATCCAGGCCCTATGCTGATTGTAATTTCAATGAAATACAGGCAGTGTAGAAGTCCATTCTTGAGCAAATGCTTTTGAGTGAAGGAAGCATTTGTACAATTTTGATTCAAAAGTGGTCTGCAACTTAAATATGTGAATGTGTGGGAAGGATTGTACAGGCAACAGGAAGAAAGAGAACAATGGGCTAGAAAAAGAAGAAAGAGCCCTTCCAATGCAGGCCTTTCTTTTTCTTCCTCAGTCTTTTGAGCTTCACAAAAGGACACATATTTTCCATATAATTGCTAAACATGTTTGCTTATTAAATTATTCTTTAATTAGTTAATGATTTTAGCCATGCTTTGCTCTTTGGATATTCATTTTGTGTAATAAAATAATTATAGATAATTAAACTATCTCAAGCCTTTTCTTTCCCTCAGCAAACATGCTGGGTATCCAAAAATGACAACAAGTTGTAAATTAATCTGGAAAACAAAGCATGACAGATGAATGATTTGGTTAGAATTAATTAGGCACTAATTATATACTGGAACTAGATGAAGAATGAGACTCATTATAAAAATAAAACACTATTCTGAAAAGATGCACGGTTACCAATATCCTTACCTTCTGTGATGATGGAATTATTCCTCATCCAAGTCAGGGCATTGAGGCAATCTTCCTCATCATTGAGAATGAAAAGATTGGGAGGAACTTTCCCAGTGTACCGCTGCTTACTGAGCTCAGCAACCTCTCTGTTGGTGGGGTGTTCGCTAAGATCCACCCCGGTAGGACATGGGACCTGAGATAAGTTAGAGAAATTCTTATTGCAGTGGTGAAAGATGAAGCTCTGACATAGTTAAGAGAAAATGAAGTATACATAGTAATGTTCAATACAGGTAAGTATTAGTTTGTTCCTACATATAATTAATTAGGCTTCAACTAAAAGGAGAAAAACATCAAGGAAGCAAATAGAAAGGATGACCATTTAGAGATAAGATGTCATTGTCTGTCTAGCCGTTGATGCTGATGGTGGCCTGGAAATGACCACATGTGGGCTTGTTGTGTGGCTTGGGTTTCCTCAAAACATGGCACTCATTGGGGATGGGAATGTGGCTCAGTGGTAAAGTGCTTGCCTAGCATGCATGAAGCCCTGGAAGTGGTGGAGCTGTTGCTCAAATAGTAGAGGTCTAGCCTTGAGCAAAAGAAGCTCAGGGACAGTGCCCAGGCCCTGAGTTCAAGCCCCATCACTGGCAAAACAAATAAACAAAAAACATGGCACTTGACTCCTAAGGGACACTAAATGTCCCAAGGGAAAGAAAGAACTGTACAGAGAGCTCTATGTTCTCTAGTCTAGTTCTGGAAGTTGAGCTGTGTTCTATTCATGGAGGCACACATAGGGACCCTTCTTGGGGTCAAGAGATTCCATCTATTCCCCACTTCTTCATGCCGAATGGCAAAGGTATAGAAAAGGAGATGGAACTGGATTTGATATGATTATTTTGGTTAAAACAATCTGTCACAGAAACAATTCTAACAGGGGCTAAAATTCGTTTACAGAGGTACTAGGCAGAAAACTATAGCAACACAGGATCTCAACACAGGATCTTTCCAATATAACGTTTGTTCTCCCACTTTTGATATAGATGGGGAGTGGAAGCTGAAACTTTTCTCTACTGTAGAGAAAGCAACCATGAAATCACAATAAAGGATGATTGCCAACACTTATCTTCCATGTGAAAATTCCCTTAACAAACCAGAGGGTCAAAGCATTTGGTCACAACGCAGCTTCACAGATGAACACAGGTCCAGTATGGTCAGATCTGATTTTTCAATTAATGTCAGACCCATGAGGTTCTGTTTATATTACTCCTGTTTAAATTAAAATCAAACAAAAGACTTTGCGAGAGCCACATAAAACAGCACTGTAACCTGAGTTTGCCTCCTGAGCTACTATTTTGGCCCTTTTGTCTGGCAATCATGTAGAAAAGTTCTAGAGGAAAAAAAGTGTCCAGCACAGGGGGCAAGGCAGAAAGGCAACTTTGGGACCTTTGGTGCAAGCTCTATACTAGAAGTTTTACATATTATTGGCGGGAGGACTAAGGTCTGTGAAGCAGGAAGAGCTCAGCAGTAGAAACAGACGTTGGATACATTACCTCATCTTGGGTTTGCTTGGCTTCCTCATGGGGCCTGAACTCTGGACCTGGGCGCTGTCCCTCAGCTCTTCAGTGTAAGGCTAGCGCCCTACCACTTGAGCCATGGAACCATTTTCAGCTTTTTCTGTTTATGTGGTGCTGAGGAATTGAACCCAGGACCTCATGCACGTGAGGCAAGCACTCTACCACTGAGCCAGCTTCCCAGCCCATGGCTCCTTCATCTTTAAAATGGGGGTGAAGACGGCACCAATCTAGTGTCACTGTAGGGTTACATCAGCTACCACGCACATCTCATAGAAAACATTCACTAGCCCTCAGGGACTCTGCCTGATTAATAAGGGCTCTGAGGACAGCAGGCTCCTGCCTCCTGGGTCTGGCCATTCCCATTTAAAGCAGACTTTAAGACTATTAGAAAGCTGTTTCTTAGGGGTAGGGAGTTAGGAAGCTGTTTTCTTAGGATGAATAAGTACTGTATAGTATACCTATGATTTTCTAGTAGACTGTCTTAAATCTGTTTCCTGGGTTCCAGATGTATGTATCTAATTTGTTTTCTACATGAAAAGCCTTCAATGGTTTGAAGACTGGTTGTTCATCCTGGCCACTCTGAATCTTGACTCTTGTGTCTAAACATATGAAATAACTTCAAGCCTCTGGATATACCTCAGGCTGTTCTTCCTCTCTTTTTTAAATGTAACCAACAGGAAAAAGCTGTACTTGTGACATATCCTTTGAGAGCGTCACACTCAGGAGGTAATGAGTTCATGATCTCTACGGTCATCATCCATTTGACTGTCACTGCTGACGCTCTTCTTTCCCCCAACTTTCCTTTGCTGGGTATTAATATCACTGTCCTTGTGACTTTGTCTCACATAAGCCCTTTGCTGTAGACTTGTAGCTATGTACAGTACTTGGAAATTTTTGGTGTCATTTTAATGTGGAATTTCCCTTGCATGTTGTGTTTAGTGTAAAAAATAACCCTGATTGTTTAACAAGGTAGTTGGAGATAATAACACTCACTGTCATCATTTTCATTTTCCTCATACGCCATCCTGGTTTGTACTTGCACTTCGCTTTTATGTTCTCCAGTTTTTGAATCTTTCTAAGTTGTTCAAAACATTCTTTGTGTGTGTGTGTGTGTGTGTTGTGTGTGTGTGTGTGTGTGCGTGCACACACACACGCGCGCATGAGCATGTGTGCCAGTACAGAGACTTAAACTCAGGACCTGGGTGCTGTCCTTTAGCTTTTTTTCTCAAGGGGTAGTGTTCTATCACTTGAACCACTTCTGGCTTTTTGCTGGTTAATTGGGGAGAAAACAGTCTCACAGACTTTCCTGTATAGGCTAGCTTCAAACTGTGATCCTTAGATCTCATTCAGCCTCCTGAGTAGCTAGGAATACAGGCAGGCATACCCCACTGGTGCCTGGCTCAAAAGCATTCTTTAGCATTATTTCCTTATGAGTCAACACCAACATACATTAGCATCCCCACTTACAAGTTCCTCCTTTAGCACATCACCTTCTAGTAAATTGAATAATCATTTTCTATTTTTTTAAATTTTTTTGGGGGAGTACGGTCGTGGGCCTGAACTCTGGGTGGGTGCTGTCCCTCAGCTCTTCAGCTCAAGGCTAGTGCTCTACCAATTGAGCCACAGCACCACTTCTGGCTTTTTTTTTTTTTTGCCTGTGTGGTGCAGAGAAATTGAACCCAGGGCCTCATGCACGCAAGGCAAGCACTCTACCACTGAGCAACCTTCCCAGCCCATCATTTTCTATTTTGTAGTCCATTTCAGACTGACAAGAGTTACTTTTTAAAATAATTTGTAGTGCTTGCCACCTGTCCTCTCACACTACTGCAAAACTCTCACTTTTCTGTCATAGTTATTTGGAGCACATAAAAGAATGGCTTTCTGTTATCTTCAAATTTGAGAGACTCAGGGGTACATGTAATGATTCATCATACCTTCTCCAAAATTCTGTAGAGTTTCATTGTTGATTGTCACTTAACACTAAGGAGTAATGTTTTTTAAATTCCTGCTTCATTCATCTGGATTTTTTTTCTTTTTTAAGAGAGGAGCATTCAGTAATCAGTTTTCATCTGGAATTTGTTCATTTCCCCCCTTCATTCTCATGAGATAATGAGAAATGTCTCATTTTGTATGAGAGATGTCAGAGTCTAACTAAGAAAAAGAATTTCTTTAACTTTGCTTAGAATCAATTAATTAGACAATACTTGGGTAAGGAAAGTTTTCTTAAATTACTGTTGCAAGCCTACCTAGACTCAAGGAGACAAGACAAAGATTTCAGCTCTCAGATGAGACCATTATTAGAGAATCTTCAGCTGTGTTTCAAAAGAGCCACTTTTCTTTGACTTTGAGCTACCATGTTCACCTTTAATCATCCTCAAAGTGAGGTCTATTCCTACTAGATACTGTTAAATGACAACACGGAGGAGTGTCTCTTTTCCCGGTGGAAGGCATAGTGTAGAAAGCTCTTCTGCCCAGCTAGGTCATAGCAGATACTTGCCTGAGGATACCCTGTTCTGCTTACCATGCTTTCATTTACCTAGTCTTGATATTATGAATCTTTTGAAGACCATACTGCAATACCAACTCATGTCAAGCTTACTGGAAACTAAAGTCATCGTTTTGTCTTTTGCTGGGATGGAGATGGTAGGTAAGGTAGGAGAGAGACCAGCCCTCCTCACTCTCAGCCCCGCAATATCATTTAAGATTCTATCATGTGCACATGTTTTTTCTGATTAAAAAAATTAAGGGTAATATAATATGTGGACACAGAAATCTTACAGAATATTTTAGCGCAAGGCATGCCATGTAAAAGATCTGATTAGAAGTTAAGGGTTGTAATTGTATTTTATACCACATTGTCTTCTTGCTTTGGGGTGAAGCTTTATTTTCATTATCTTTCTTTCAATAAATTGGGACAAAACCATGAGAGACCTGGAGTAAAAGAAATGGAAAAAGAAATAAGAATTCTCTGGTCCCTAGTGAATTTAGTTGCCCTTTCTGTATCACTCTATGTACCTTTGATTTTTATGTCCTTCTGGAGAAATTAAATTGGAACCCCTTTTCTCACTTCTTCATTTCATTTTTCTCACTGTAAAAAGGGCAAGAGCTTAATGTGCCACAAAGTAAAGCTGCAGGGGCAGCTGGACACACATGGGCAGATGCCCCAGTCTCTGGACAGCTGCCTGGGTCTCCTGCTCAATTTCCAAAGTACGCAGTCTGGGGCAGCAGCTGGAACTCACTGGGCAGGTGAGGGGGGACAAACTAAAGGGCTGTGTGGTATTGCCTTCTGTTTAATGTTTTAAAAGGAAGAGAGATAACTTATACAGCAACACGAGTTCTTCCTTCAGCTCTTTTTTATCCTGTAACCAGAAAAAATAATCCTCTTCTGCTCTTTGGGAATGAGATTTCCTTCTTTTTCCTTCTTTTTTTTTTTAAAGGACAAGAAATTGAGAGATTCATCCAGCTACAATCTATCAGTCTCGCTAAGGAGCTTGTCGCTTCCAGGCTTCCAGTTCAGAATCTACCTCTTAGTGGATGCCTGGGGGCTGGACAAGTACAGAGCAGCTTGAGGAATGTTGCTCTAAGGCATAGGATTTAAAAAGTTTCTAGGAACATAGGCTATTCTAGGCATAGATGTATTTTCAAAGCACCCCAGCTAATCTCAAGTGACTTGTGGACAGTTACTGCAAGAGACAGAGGACACTGGCTAAGTGGTGCTCAGAACTGCTTAGCTCATGCGGTGATGTCATGTGGGCTGGGAACCTGTCTGTCTCCTCCATATACTGCCTCCCCCAGCTTGGAAATGTAAAAGAAATATACACACGCATTCCTGCCAGAATCCACAGTCATGAATTAGAATAGGTTTCCATTCTGTGTGTGTGTGTGTGTGTGTGTGTGTGTGTGTGTGCAAGTGCTAGTCCCAAGGCTCTAACTTAGGGCCTCTGTTCTGTCCCTTGACTTTTTCTTACTCAAGGCTGACATACTACCACTTGAATCACAGCTCTACTTCCAGCTTTTTGCTGGTTAATTGGGATAAGACTCTCCTGGACTTTCCTGCCTGTGCTGGCCTCAAATTGTGATCCTCAGATCTCAGCCCCAAGTAGCTAGGATCACAGGAGTGAGCCATGAGCACCCAGTGATGACCCTATTCTTCTGTTAAAGTAAATCTGTTTTTGTTGGAGAGGTACCTTACTTAGGGGACCCCAGGAAATGCTAATGTGCACTATGAAATGGGCATCTTAAAATCTGCTGCCCTACCACACCGAACAGCTCCAGTTCTATCCAGCCATGCTTTATTCAAATGTGTCTTGAGAGAGTAATGAGACGGAAAGCATGGTCACTGGAAACCAGTCAATCTGATTTCCTAGTTTTGTAACTGAGAGACAAAATAAAATAAGGGTTGACAGAAGGTGCGCATGTTTGAAATACTTTTGCGTGAACGCACCGCCCCAGCCAAATGTTAGCCTCTTGAGGCATAAATTAATTTACCAAAATGCATGCTTGGTTGTGTCTGGATTCTGCTATGGTGAGCCATAAGTGTTAGACTTTGGGACAACAGCTTCAAGAGTGACATTTTTCCAACTTGCTGTGATTTTGATCCTTGAGCAGAATGTTTTTCTTGGAATGGGTTTCTGGGAGGGCTTTGCAGATATAATTCTGGTCGTGTGTGCCGGCCCTGAAGAGCACTTTTATGAATATAGAGTGGCAGCTGTCTGGGCAAGAAGGGATACTCTGTACCCAGAAAGCATGTGTCCTAGTAAACATATTAGCCCTGGAGATCTCCAAACACACCACTGGCACTCCCGATGCCAGGGCTTACCTGGTACTGCTGCCCAGTACAGAGAATGAGGTGGTCGTAGAACATAATTTCATCCTGGGAAAGCACGATTTGCTTGGCTGCTCGGTCTATGGCAATCATTCTACCAACCACAACATTAACCCAGGAGCAGAGTGACATCAATGCATAATCTTTATCATTAAAACAGTGGCTGCAAAGAGAGAAGCTCCATCAGTGACATTTAAGCAGCTGACAGCGGGCATTAATTAGACATCTGGTGAGCTGGTTCAAGTCCCCTAGTGAGCTGGGTCTGTGCTCTTGCTGTGAGTTTACCAGGGCTCACACTAGATTTTTCGTTACAAAACACTTTGTCATAAATTGACATCTTCCCATTAAAGCTGAATTGTTCCACCTGGCTCAGGCCAGCCCACAGAGAGAGAGGAGGAGGGGGAGGGAGAGAAAAGGAGAGGGGGAGGGAAAGAAAGGGAGGGGGAGAGTGTGAAAGAAAGAGTGAAATCAGACTCTTTCTTGTGCTTTTATTTCATGGGGATTATAAATACACTTTAGCTGTTAAATTGTCCTTCTGGCCATAGACTCAAAAGGAATGAAGAAGGTGACACTGTGGAACAATCCTAAAGGCAGGGGACCCAGACCTATAATATTGAGAACTCTTCCTGTTTGCTAATACATTCCCATAAATGACCCATCCTTAGAATTAGTGTGTGGTTTTGTGTCATAACAACACACATATTTTAAGAAGGTGTCAATGAGGGAATTAATTTTACAGCAAGTACAATCCCTGGAGACTTGGGGTCACTCTGCACAGAGGTGATTTGGAGGGAACAGGTATTTGTATATATATAGCTGGCCCAGGTTAGAGATGAGTTCTAGGTTTGAGGATACTGGTAGCTGCGTGGGCCTTCATTTTCAGGCTTCTCTTGAGTTTGAGCTCTCGACTGTGTTATGACAGGAATTGGTTCCTGTGGCTTAGGGTCTGTTTAAGGTCTCCAAGGGTTATTTGCAGAATTTTCTGAAAGATTTGGCCTTGTAGAAAGGATATTTAATGATTTTGGTCTGGAGAGTCTAAGATGATTGGACACAGAGTAGAATTTCATGTAAGTTTAGGCTGCATGGATTATGCCAGGGTCTATATCTTTTGTCAATGAGCCTGGACCCCAGGAACCCTGCATAACCCAATTTCCTGGCCTCTCACCCACAGGATAATGAGCCCACCCTACATGTCTCCACCATTGTAAGGAATGGACATGAGAATATAGGAGACGCTGTTTTGTCAAGTGGGATGCATATGCGGAGGGTATTATTCTAAATGATATTAATGATACATAATCCTGTTTACTCTCTTTGGAGGCAAACAGAATTCTGAAGGGGTAATGGGAGGACATTTTTTCCTTTTTGATCCACATACAAGTCTAGTCTCACCACACAAAGAGAATTCTAGTAATGGATGCACATTAGACTCTGTTACAGAACCTGTGAAAGAAATGGGAGCTCTGGGCTTTGTATCTCTCCATGAAACAACACTTAAAAACAAGAAAATTTCTCCTTAATAAAAAAAAACAGGGTCTGGTCTTTCACAGCCCAGTAATGGATAGTGAGATGAGATTTTCTTTAAAAACCATTTTGATAGCTTTACAAGAACACAGGTGACTTCACTGATCCCAACATTCATGAGACACACACAAAGGATGGTCCTTATTTGTTGTGCAGTCCCTACTATAAGCTGCCCAAGATGAGGAAAAATTAAATATAGTTAGTGCATAGGGATTAGTGGCAGAAGAAATTGCTGAGAGAGATACAAGCTGTCCAGGAAAATTTGTGGAAGGCTAAGACAATGCTATTTTTAATGACAGTAGAAGAGTAGTGTTAGAATAATTGATAATGTCGTAATGTGCATTTCAGAGTTACAATGTGAAATTGTGTCCAATGGGAACTGATTTTTAGGAACCTTTACTCATATACCAAAGGCAGTGTGGAAGAGCATGGGTAGGTCATTTCATGATCTGTTTCTACATTGACATTTCTCTGTTTAAAATGCCACAGGGTAAGTGGAGGCTGGCCTTTCTAGATGCTACTATCCATCTGAATTGTCTTCAACTTCCCAAGTGAGTGAATCTATCTATCAGAGACTACTGTGATATGTCCCTCAAATTATTTCTGAAGCAGAGTTAATAAGTATTAAAATTCTAACACAGTCAGGACTATCTCACTGATGGGTGATGTAGAGACAAACCTCTACCAGGATTCTCTGGAGAAGAGAGAAGGAACAACAGAGTCCATCAATGAAATTTCATGTTTCCCAAGCAAGCTTTAACAGGAAAGGGAACTAGTAATGTAGCTCAGTGGTAGAGTGCCTGAGACTCTGAGTTTGATCCCTAGAAGTAGAAAAAAAGAACCAAAGTGAAAAGTTGTCTTCATGGGAAAATCTGGACAGATAATGAGATAATAAAAGTAGACTGGGGAAATTTCAGAGGGCATGCATGAGGTATGGCCTGCTTCTTCAAGCATGTAATGGGCCCTGAACCTCATGGTGAGAAGGGCCAACTGGGAGCCAGATTGGGGGAGCAAGTATAAGACCTGCACCTCATGGAATCAGACCCTTCAGAACTAGCACGAAACTTAGAGGTTTTTCAGAAAGGATTAATTGTGACACTCTCAGAAGAAGGACCACTGCAATTAGCTTTCAATTATTCGGGGATGATTGTCCAATTAGTGGCTTTCTCCTGCTTCCGGTTTCTCTCCCTGCTGGCACCTTCCTTTCAGCTGATCCCAGGCACATCCTCAGCACCACCAGAGATGGGGGGGGGAGGCAAAAAAGGCTATTAAAAATAATAACAATAATAATGAAGCAAAACACTGGTTAAGAACAAGTTCAAAATTAGTGTTTAGGATGAGGAATTTAAATGATTAAATCCATGGATGTCATTTTCACTTATTATTTTTAAACTCTGTGGCCAGAGACAATTTCCTTTATTAGGGCACAAGAAATTTAAGAAAAGAACATCCTGTTCATAACCCAATCTGTGTTTTCTAAGAATTAAGGTGACAGGAGGTTATCCAGGCAGATAGATCTGGCTGGGTTGGATGTGTCCCCTCGTTGATAGAGATGGTTTTTTGCAGTTTCTTTGAAGGTAACTTTCATGTATTCCGCATTATTAAATGTCTGCTATGGGCTCAATATTGGGAACATATCAATGGACAAAATTCCTGCCTGAAGAGTTTACAATAAAATGGAAGGATTTGGAGTGTACAGAGTAAACACAGTTTCAAATGGCAATTTCCATAATGTTTAGAAGACTTTCAGGAGCAAGAAAAAAAATAGAGCCAAGTGTGTTAAGAGTGTTGTTCACAAATGAATAGGGTAATCTGGGAGTCTGGGTAGGCCTCATGGAAGAAAGGACAGTTAAGAGGGAAAAAAGCCAGGACCCCCAAAATAAGTACTTGCTTGTTCTGTTTAGTGTGAACATTGGGGTTACTGATGTGACTAAAGATGAGCAAAAGATAGTAAAAGAGGAAATCAAGGAATAGAAAAGGACAGACTTTAGCTCAGAACATTCTAGAACATTCTGTGGTGATGAAAATTCTCTGGAACTGAGCTTGTACAGTAGCCACTGGCCATATGCGGCTATTTAAGCACTTGAAATATGGCTAATGTGACTGAGCTGAATTTTTCATCTCATTTAACTGTAATTAATTTAAATTAAGTAGTCCCATGTGGCTTTAACTACTGCTTTGGACAGTGCAGTTCTGGGCAGTAAGGAGTTGATGATCTGAGTCACAGTTCTGCTGTGTTGCTGTGGTGACCGTGTTGAGACTGAGAGAGGAAAGAATAGAAGCAAGGATGGCAGATGACTCCCATCAAACATTAGGTCTACCTCTGTGGTATCATACTCACAGAGAGCCCTTTACATTGCCCTCTCCTCACCCAACAAGGGGGCAGACAGAAATTTGTACTAAGCCGACTGAATGAAATTCCTTTTAAGATGCCAACACACCAGCACTTCCTGGGAATCATGTAATTCAGAAAGAGGGAAACATGAAGGAAGGTAGTAGTATCCATGTGTCAGGATTTGAAGTTGCTTTGATTTGAACAACAACATCAACACCACCATCAACAACAACAAAAATCCAGCAAGCTTGGCTTAGCATACTCTTTAACAATCAAGAAAATCAAAGCTCAGAGAAATGAACTTCATTGTCTAGATGGTGGGAGGTAAAGGCAGGACTTGGAGCTGCATTCTCTTGGTTCAGATCTCATGTCCTTTACTTCACTGTTCCGCATGTCATTCTTCTAGAAAACAAGCCTGATAAAAGTGGGCACTGGCGATGCAGCTCAGTAGCAGTACACATTCAAGGGAGGCCCTGTGTTCCACCTCTTACATTGCAGACAACAATGACAACAGCAGCAGCAACACACCTGGGCTTGGTTTTACTGGCAAGGAGGCTGTAGAAGGCAAAGCAAGTCCTTTTCACAGGGGAAAGAGGGTGTCTTCATCAAGAATTCTGCTGTGATATCCTTTTCCCATCCCAGGAGAGAACAGTTTCATCTATCTTTATTTGAAATGCTGGGAGATGATTTCCAGAAGCAAGAAACTTCCTACTCCTGTACCAATTTTTTGCTACCAAGAATTAAAATGAATGGAAGTGGTGTGATAATGAAATAGGATCTATACGATTGATGTCAGCCGGGCGCTGGTGGCTCACACCTGTAATCCTAGCTACTCAGGAGGCTGAGATCTGAGGATTACGGTTCAAAGCCAGGCCAGGAAGGAAACTCTGTGAGACTCTTACCTCCAATAAACCACTAGAAAATCAGAAGTGGTGCTGTGGCTCAAGCGGCAGAGCGCTCGCCTTGAGCTGAAGAGCTCAGGGACAACACCCAGGCTCAGAGTTCAAGCCCCATGACTGACAAAAAAAAAGGATTGATGTTGTTAACTAGTAAGTCTACTGGGATAAAAACAATAAAACTTTCCTGGACTGGTTCTGGACTCGAACAGTGAGCTTGCCTGGTGAATCTGTGGTTACAAACTGGTGTGTATGTGTGTGTGTGTGATGTATCATCACCAGTGATGTTACTAAGCTACACTGCCTTGTAGTCTCATTCAGAACTCAAAACAGGGATGGCTGGGTCACAGGCTCTGTTGTGGGAATAAGGCAGCTGTCTTCCTGCAAATCCCAATGGTGGCCTAGTGCTGCCACTCTGGGCCACTCACATGCTGAGTTTGAATTCCTAATAATTCCTAGACTCTAGGAGAAAAGCCTTCTTGTCCCTTGCCCTTCTATTTCCTGACTGAATCTTATTATTTAGCATAAAAACAATGTACACAAATTAGGACACATAGGCTTCAAAATGAAGTATTCATACTCGCTTGCTAAAAATTTCCTTTCTTCACTGTATGGTTTTTTCCCTGGGAGTCCATGAGTTGAAATCAGGGTGAGATTATTAAACTTCAGGTGAGAGCTGAGGAGAAAAAAAAGGGGAAAAGAACAAAGATATTAACCATAATTCAATAAAATGTACTATAATTCAATTTAAGTGTATTTCATGCATCGCAACTGTTAAACATTTTTTTGATGGTAGCAATTCTTTTTACACAAACCTTCAATTACAATCACTTAATGAAAAAAAAAGGAAGATATCAGAGTTAATTGCAAAAAATTCAAAAGCTAGTTTCTGTGAAATGGTAGGACACAATTTACTCTTTTTTAACATTTTATTCTCAAAACAAACAAAAACCTCCAAATTGGGAAGGAGGAGGTCAACTTGGTATAAATAAATGCAAAGTTTGAATGTCAGGTTACTTATAAGAAACTGGAGGTTGGGGGCAGTGGCTCCTGTCTATAATCCTAGCTACTCAGGAGGAGGAGATCAGGAATAAGCTGGATGCAGTGGTGCACTCCTGCCATCCTCACCACACACAGCAAGTGTAAATAGGGGGAGTAAAGTCTTGGTCAACATTGGACAAAAGAGACCCTATTTGAAAAAATCAGGCACAAAGGGTGGGGGTATATAGTCAAATGATAGACTACTTGCTTGGCAAGTAGGAGGCCCTGAGTTCAAATCATAAAAGAAAAGCAAGCAAGTGAAATTATAACCACCACAGCTAAACTCTGCTGAGGGCTTATAACCATATGCTTTACACATGTTATTTTCCCCATTGGTTCTCATAGCAACATGAAGTCTGTGATATTATTATCCCCATTTTATTAGGTACAACTGAACCACAATGACTTATCCAAGGCCATACAAGGCTACTATCTAGCTTTAATGTCCTCTTACCTAATCTGTGCCTTGGTCCCTTGGAGGGGGATGAATTCCAGGATTCCCAAGAAGATACCAAAATTGAGTAGATGCTCAAATCTCTTATATAAATACTGTAATATTTACTTATTATGCCCACACACCCTCCTGTATATGTTCAATTATCTCTAGGTTACTTAGAACTAGTATAATGTAAATGCTGTTTAGTGAGTCTGTACATATTCATTATAGCAGAAATTTTTCCTTGCAAATATTTTCTGACAGGATTGGTTGAAAATGTAGATGCAGAATATGAGATTAGGGAGGGCCTATGGCTCTGTACTGTAGACTTCAAAGATCCTATTAGTCAATATTAGCTTTACATCGTTGTTTAAATCAGGATACACTGTCTCACCTAGAAAATTCTAGAAACTTTTTTTTTTTCAGTTGGTCATAGGGCTTGAACTCGGGGCCTGAGTGCCATCCCTGAGCTTTTTCGCTCAAGGCTAGCACTCTACCACTCTGAGCCATAGCGCTACTTCCAGTTTTCTGGTCGTTAATTGAAGACACGAGCCTCATGGACTTTCTGTCCTGGGCTAGTTTTGAACTGTGATCCTCAGATCTCAGCCTCCTGAGTAGCTAGGATTACAGACAGGCATGAGCCACTAGCATCTGGCAACGATTTCTTTCAAGACCCAAACTGCCTTACATTTGTATCAGGGCCTGGGATACATTCACAGACCTTATCATAGAGCTCAATCTTCAAGGTGATTTATACCAAGGACGATGGTGGGGTGGGTGGCTATCTATATTTCATGTGTAAGAAAATCCAATGTAGGACTGGTGAGTAATTTGCTTAAGGTCATGAAGCTCATCTCCAGCAGGATCCAGAAATGCAGTTCATGCCCTCTTCTCCACTCATCCATACTAGGCTCTGTAACCAATCCTGAATGTCATTTTATGTGGTGTGCCCAGTACTCTGGAAGTGGAGGCTTCCAAGAACTTATGTGCCTAAGATTCACAGTGTATTTGCCCTTTTGTATTTAAAATACTCCTGCTATGAAAAATGTCACTCTGCTTGAAGTCAACAAAATTTTATGGATATATATATATATATGTATATATATGTATATATATATATGTATATATATATGGATACATATATAATCCCCCTAAAATATTTTTTAGTTCACATATCCCTTTTCAATCAACAAATACCAAAAAAACCAAGTCAGAGGAAAACACCTGCCCTCCATTCCCAAGAGGAGATTGGAAATCTTCCAACAGTGGAAATGTTATCAATTTACTGACAATCTGTTAAATAGCACCAAAAATAGGAGACTTTGGTGATAGCAATAAACTCAACTGTACCTGACATTTAAAAAATAGCTAAATATTATGAAAGGTTTTGCTCTAAACTCTCTAAGGATGAGTATCATTTAAGAATGAATATCTGTATGAAGTATAAAAAAACCAAACACGTTTTATCCTTTAATAATAAGAACAAAAATTTTGAGTATCTTTAGATAGCAGAAAGGTCACAATTAACCCCGGCTATTTATGGCTGCCAGTCTGCAAGCACACACCAAAGACAGGTTCTGGGTTCATTACCACCTAATGGAAAACACAAATAAAAATAACGTGTTTGTAGTCATGGGCAGTTAAAATTTACCCTAGCTGGGGAGCCCAAGTGATCAAAATGCAATTTATATTATACTAGTAATTATATAATATAATGGGATTTAATAATTATGCAGCTATATCTTTTACTACAAAACTGAATAATTTGACCTGTCTAACAACATAGATCAAATGAGTGGTAAATTGCCAAATTACCATACCTGAATTATGCTACTGTACCATTAAAGATTTTCCCAAAAGAAAGAGTAGGGTTTTTTGTAAAACATCACGATGATGATACAATACAAAAGTTATATTGAGGGGAGAAGGTTTTTCTGAATTTTAATTTTTTAATCAGCTTCTCACTTCTTTTCGTCAGCCCAAGTCAAATTCCCTTTATCATCATCATTGTGGCTGTTGTGGTCCTTATCCAATCTTCAGTTCTCACTGTAACCTTCCATTTTCTCTCATCACCCTTCCTCATTCACAACAGAGCAGGTAACACCAAAAATAAGGCACAGAGCAGCCACCAGGTTCCCTCCACTTCCTTCCCTTCGCCTAGATGTGCATTCAGCCGCTCCTTGATTGAGAAGAGATGTCTCCCATTAAACATGCCTCCTCTTCAAGTCTGTCATCTGTCTTCCCTCAACTCCTATACCAGAAGATGTCTCTTACAATGACATTTAATAAACCAGTCTAGTGCTGAAATGTGGATTTATGGAGTCCTCAGGGGCATGGCCTTGTCTGTTTCTCCATGTATAGTTTCCATTCTCAAGGTCAGCTCAGGGCCAAGGGAGCTCCTGCACCTCCATCCATCACATCCATTTAACACTTAACATTTAAAAGGAGAACATCCTTAAACCAATTACCTCAAGTAGAATTTATATAAAGCAACCCCCCCACCACAAAATGATTTGACAGTTGGGCAGCAGTCAGAACCAGAGCAGATTCTGAGAACAATCAGATAGCATTTATAGAAAAATGAATGTTAAGCTGAGTACAGTGGTGCATGCCTATAGACACAATTATGTGAGACATAGAGATGGGAGGATCACAGGCCTTATCTGAAAACTGAACTAAAATTTATAAAAAGGATTGTATGACATGACTCAAGCAGCAGCAAGTATGAGGCCTTGAGGTTAAAAAAAAAAAGTAAAAGGAAAATGGATAGGAGACAGAAAACAATGTCACTACAGGTCATGAACCCAACCAAAATTTAGTTACTATGCTTAATCTCCTTATTAGTTTAGGCAATTGGGCCAGTGCGGGAGGCCAGTCCAAATCAATGGTCTCTTACACGTTTTATTTAAGAGCAACTGTTAACAAGCCTTCTGAAAATCCCACCTGACATTTCTGCTTACATTACCAGAAGTAAATAACAGACAAAGCTGTTATTGGGTCAGGTTCCTGAGTAAGTGTTGTCTTAGGTTCTTCATTTCTTAAACTAAGAACTGAGAAGATGACATAGGATGGGTGAGAGAAGCTCAGGTTCACTGAAGCTAAAGTAGATACCTGAGAAAAATTAAGGCTGATAAAAGTTCAGGAGAGGGTCTTTTGTGATGGACAGTTTGGAGTGGCAGGTGACAGTTTTCCAGTTGTACATGCTTATTCCCACAATACATTCTGCTATAATATTAATGATATGCGGTACAGCAGCATGAGCTTTTAATTAGGTGTTCTCCCAAAAGTTCACTTAACGACAGTTGAGCATAGTACTGTCATGTGTCATTTAAAGACATTTTAGCTTGCTGAATAAGCATCCTTGAGGTCAAGATATGACCTCACTCTTGTCAGGTCCAAAAGACACCAGTACTTTTTTGAGTTAAGAGGGATTTTGTCCATGTATTTCTTACCAACCTTTCCAGGCTTAGGCTTTATGCCTATTTGCCTGGGTGATATAATCTGCCACCATGACCTCATCTTATGTATTATCTATAATCCACTCTACCATCCTATAGTGCTTCTTCTGAGCTATAAATTTAATTTCTAAATGCTTCAAGACCGTCCCTAATTCAGTATGTCAAAACTAGGGTGCATAGCACTATAGATTGAAATTTTGTCCAAATAGAGCTCTCTATCCTCAACCCGTTCTTTTGGTCCCTGTCAAAGCCATGAACAACTGTGTCTCAAGTCAGGAATTTGGAAGCCTATCTTAGATGCCTGCGATCCTTTCCCCTCCCCTCACTGGTTACTGTGTCCAGTCACTCTGACTTGTCTCTATCTTTTGAATGATACAGTTCTATAGTTCATTATCTTACCTAGAGATACAGTCTTAGGATATAAGACTCCCTAGTATAAGACTCTTTAGGGCCTCTTCCATGAGTTATCGGAAACCTCTTTTCAAATTAGATCCTATCTCAGTGGGCTTTGGCTTTGAAATTCTCATCTTTGCTCACTACCTTAGCAGTAGCAGAGCAAAGTGTTTAAGGTCATGGGCTTGGGACTCAAACTGCCTTAGCTGGATGCCTAGCACTTCAGTACTTTCTAGCAGTTTTGACCTTGAGCTGTTATTTAACCTTGCTGTGGCTCAGTTTCTTCACCCACAAAATGGGAATAGAATATGCTTTTTTTTAGAAATTTTTATTTTTTAAAATTTTATT